ACTGCATCAAGGGAAACAAATTTGTTAAAGCTCTATGAGCTTCCAAAATATAATTTATCAGCTCCAGGATTATGAGTTATGGGTTCCTTAGAAATACAACCAGAACCTTTAGGATTATTTCCTATCAGGTAATAAGCATCAACAGAAATTTTCTTGATGTACCTAACAGCATATTATCTGTAAAATACAGTGGAACCTCAAATATCAAACTTAATCCGTTCCAGGAGTTCTAAATTCGAAAAGTCTGAAAAGCGAAGCAATATTCCCATAAGAAATAATGGAAATAAAATTAATCCGTTCCAGAAATCCAAAAATATTCACAAAAAATACATTTTATAGAGATTAATTATAGTTTTACATACACACAACAAGTATAGTGTTCAGTTATGTATTAATAAATTTAAATAAACATATAAAATAAATTTTACTTACCGTTATTGAAGACTGGTGATGGCATCTGGAAGATAGGGAGGAGGAGAGAGGGAGTTGGGGTTAGTGTTTGGAAGGAGAATCCCCCTCCATGAGGACTTCAGGTATCAAAGCCCTCTCTGGGGTTACTTCCCTTCTCTGTCTTTTAATGCCACTTGGACCAGCTTGAGGGTCACTGGACCCCCTGTCTCATAAAATAACTATCCACAGTCCTCTGTTTCTGGTGCCTCTTTAAGATTTCCCTAAAATGGGACATGGTTCTGTCACTGAACTTGTTGCAAAGATGACTTGTTTCAGCTTGCTCAGGGTGGTACTTCACAAACATTTGGACATCATTCCACTCCACTTGGACATCATTCCACTTCTGTATTATTTCCTTCTTCACATCTATGGTGTTTCTCACTTTATTTACCACAGGGGTACCACTACCAAGCTTCTTTGGGCCCATTGTAGCTTATTTCACAGTCCCACAAGCTCTAAACACAATGAAATAATCATAAAATGTTTGAATGAGATCGCAGGTTAGTGTTCACTCAAGCATCAACAAAACCAGACTGGCTCACGGCGCCTGTGTGGGAATGCAGACAGAGCAGGCTTCCGGACAGGTCCGGTACCCAGCGGTTCGAAAATAAGGGCGAGTTCGATAATAGGGACAAAGTTGGTTCGAAAAAAGGGTTCTATTTTTCGAAGAGTTCGATAAGCGATACGTTCTAAATTTGAGGTTCCACTGTAATTGCTCTTCATATACATATAATTCAATAGAATTTTTTAATTTGCCCACTATCCCTGTATGAAGGAATATTTGTCAAAGTTGCTTTCACACTGCAGGCAAAATTGACCTCCCTCTAAAATGGTTTCATTGCTCCTTCAACTGTGCTGGGTGACTTACATTCATTTTTCTAGTCTTGTCTCATCAGGTGGTTTTGAAGTATAACAGTTTGTTTCTTTTCTTATGGAAATAAACAGTTGTTCGTGTACACCACTTGCTCCCTCGACTCTCATTACTACAATTACATGTAGTCTCTCTCCAACTTAAAGTATTGACTTTTAGTAGTATGACCATTTATCATACAGTACTGCATAGTATTATATTTGCTTTAGGCTCTCCTACATGTGCAGTAGTGGATCATCCATGTTTAAACAAAAAATAAAAACAGTGGAACAAAAATTTTCCAGCTATCATGATGAGTAGTTAAGTGTTGAGTACAAGTGTGAGCAACAGTGCTGGACAGTGAATGCAACACCTCAAATTTGTCAGCCAGCTCACCATCTAAAGTTACCTTTTCACATGGGTGATCATCCAAATAACATAGAATATCTGGAGGTGTAGAAATTTATTTCTACAAAAAATTCCCACTGCTGGGTCCATATGTAAATAGTATTTTAATGCTGTAGTGTAAGGGTGACTTTATCGCACCCTTACACCCAACAAGATCTGTAGGTACTGTGAGATTAGTATATGAATTGATAGATTTAAACCTTGAGAATGGTTCAGATAGGCTTGAATCTATAGTAAATAATATTAAAATAAATAATGTTCCCTTAGACAATAATATTATGTTATATTAAATAATGAAATTAGGCATATTGTGATAGCTAGCATCTCATAGCAAGGTAGGTGAGATGGGAGTTCACAAAATGCAGGAGTATGCTTATGGCATCCCCTCAAGGGAGGTTCCTTGATGCTGGTGAGTCGCTCTTGATCTAGGGAATTGGATCTGTGCTCTGGTTCCGTGAATTGAGCCTGCATTCCTTCCATCTCCCCCCCGCCCCACGTGTGCTGTATAATCATACGGGTTTAGCTCTCTCCCATGATTATAATAATAATCTTATGGCATCAAGAGTGGTCGGGATAACTCATAGGCGCTCCCAGCTCAGCATCCCACACTGTTTACAAAATACTCTGTCTGGTAGTCAGTAAAGACAGAGGTTTCCCCAACGGACTACAGATAGTCTCTTTGTGCCAGACCCATTTGTGAGGCTCATTTCAGTATTTTCCCTATGTAAGTGACCACCAAATTACTGAAGGAAAAAAATGGGATTAGTTTAGCTTTCAGTTAGGCTTGGGCCAAGAGCTCACACTAAGGTAATTAACAGCCAGGATTGATGAGTAATCATCCATTGAATGCTAGTTAGGGAACGCCAATGAATACAGAGACCCCTATAGTGTATGCTAGGATTACTGAATTTTATTAACTGATTACAGGAACCATTCTCCATGCGCATGGCATCTAGGAGGGGGAGAGAGGTCACTAGAAGTTCATAGCCTGGTAGATTCAGATTTCTAGCTAGGGTAGACTCCACATCAAGTATGTTCTAGTTTGTGCATGGTAAAAGGCAGGAATTTCCTGTCATTCAGTTAACTCTTCTAAAGTGTATCCATAGAGGTACTTGTTAGAAGAGGACAAAGTAGTTTTGTGTTGTGTGCAACAGTTATTGCCAGAGTGGGCATCTCACAAGTTCCCACAGGAGGCATACAATTATACAATTCTTCATGAAGAATTGGCTGTCCTGCACCAATGACAGTGCTCTCACAAAATCTTAAGTATGACTGTCTAGGCATATGCTTCATTTTGCAAAAGTGCTGCTGATTTTTAGCAATGGAAGGCTCCTGTACATCTAATAAAACATGTCCCTCAATTTTAAACACCTTATTAACCTCAGCACCTTAGTATTGTACATGCTTTCTGTACATTAAAATCTCTTGTGATGGGTGAAAAAAGTATCTTCTTTTATAAATCTCCTGCTCATGTTTCCACTCTTTATTGGCATCAAGTCTCTGCAAAGTGATTTCCTCAAGATTAATCTCTGCTAATCTTAACACTATTAAAAACTCACATATCCTCTGTTCCCATTAAGGAATTCTGACTCTGACAATGGACTATGGTAAAGTACAGGGCACAAGGTCCTGAAATGCAGGAATTTCCTTGTCTGAGACCTATTCATCCATATTATTACATATTATAATCAAGAGGGAAGCACTAAACCCATAGGATTATATGGTGCCTTTAGGGGAGATGTGGAAGGTATTCAGGCTTAATTCAGGGAACCAGAGCACAGATCCAATTCCCTAGGTCAAGAGCCCCTCACCAGCATCAAGTAACCTTGAGGGGTATTCATCCATAATTCTCTGTAGAGGATCTGACTCAAGACTCACTTTTGCATATGCCATGACTATAATCATTTCTGATAATGTATGGTAAGTTGTATGTAGTGAAATTATTGCCAGTTCTCTAATGACAAGTCCTAACTTCTTCCAACGGACTGAGACAAACAATGACAACTCCTGTGTAACATGGAGGAAAACATACTACAGTACACCCAGACCAACCATTCTCACACCAGCCAACACAGCCAAGCTAATTGTAGCTTAGAGTTACAATTAGCTTAGCTAATTAAACTCTAGCTCCTGGCTTTTTTAAGGGGATGTCCCTTGGCTTAGAATTGGACTTCTTGTCCTCTTCCTTGCACTGAATCTAAATATGCAATCCCCACCCTCTTCCCTTTCCATTCAGCCTCGGAATGGGGAAATTTCTCCCATGTGAAATTCACCTCCTAGGCAGAAGGAAAAGGGATCATTATCAGCCCTGTCCTGATTCAGGCTTCTGTAACAGTGTTATTATATGGGAATCAGATTACTGGAGGTTGCCTGCAGATCTTGGGGTAGCAGCCTGTGCTGTATGACTTGCAGGTTTAGCACTTCTTTTTTATAATAATAATAATAATAATAGGGGTAGCAGCCTAAGGTATATGACTCCTATCATTTCTGATCACCTACTGCTATTATCAGCCAAATGACTGCACAGTTAATGCTTTAGCCTAATCAGGCAGTTTTGCTATGTGTAGTTCAACCAGTTCTGGGGATGTCATCCTGGTATGCCAGGTAGGATAAAGCATGGTTTCCAGGAAGTATCAACACTGCCTGCTGTGCTAAGGTTATCATGGGGGAGTGCTAAACCCATAGTGATTATACAGTACTTGGAAGGGAGGGGATGGAAGGCATTCGGGTTTAATTCAGGGAATTGGAACACAGATCCAGTTCGCTAGATCAAGTCCTTCACCAGCATCAAGAGACCTCCCTCTCTTCTTCCCCCTTTTTTTCAAAAATAAATCGTGCAAAGTAACTGCAGAACCCTTAAAAACCCTGTCACACCCACGGACCTTCATCAGAACCTGGAACAAGCAATGTTATTATTGTGAATTATTATTGTGTGAGCAAATAACCTGCAGGAGGCTTACAGGGCCTTACCTGAATTATTACCTGCAAGTAATTTGGGTGAGGTAAGTGGTACTTAAATCACAGCAGGTGTCTAAACTGTAACTCCCTTGATGCCCACTTCTTCACCACTGGCAAAAAGCTACACCTGACATTAAATTAATAATTACAATACTAAAACCAGCTACTCTCGTAAATTAAAGATGTGGACTGTATATTAGGCTTGCTGGGTACACAAAATATAACTGGTATTAACACCATTTAATTACTGGAAGACAATGCTGATGGAACACACCCTAACATTACTCTAACAGCTAACATTTACGATTGTCAATGCAAAAAACTACTGTACATTATGGGTAAGTGTAACTTAACTAAGGTGTGTTGTTGGGAAGGATTCATTGAAGTCCTCTATTTTTCCACCCTGGTTGCTGAATTGTAAGGGATTTCCACACTATCCCAATTCTTCAGCAGGAATACTGCATAATTCTATCGGTTTAGTGCCCCCCCCCCAATAATCATAATTATTCAGCAGGAATGTGTCACCAATTTCTAAAGTATGGTTTGAGGCCGACATACACCAACTGACCTTCTAGAATGCCTGATTACATTGCACAATTTAGTCCAGTGTTCACACATTAAATTCAATATGACATCTCTCTGGCATCACTCCACAGCTGTTCTACACTCCCCTCACTCGAAATTTCTTGAAAGGGTCAAATCAGCATCATATTTTATTACATAAATATATTATTTATATGTTCTGCATTTAGGAAATATGCCAAAAAAATTCCACACTCATGTTGATCAATAGGGTATTGCCCATTCTGGAAACCACTAACATGATGTTGACAGGTCCTTCTCAAACCCAGCCCATCGTATGTACAACAATTTTTTTTTTATATTTTATTTAAAAACTTTACAGCTTAATATTAAATAAAAAGATATAAAATGGGTACAGTACGATCCTCAATCCTACATTATTATTATAATCAAAAAGAAGCGCTAAGCCACAAGGACTACAGAACATACTCTAACAAGTTTTAACAACACATTGTAATTGGCATAAAAGAGGTTACCCATATACACTCACAAATTTTTCCATATAACATACTACTAAGATGTGGAGTGGGCCATTAAGAAGCAGCAGCATCTTGGAGTGAGATGGTCATCTCAAGGGATGCTGAGGGTGGAACAGGAGACTATGAGGCAGCTCTTCCTTCCAACACTTTCCAGCATCACCCAGGCTATCGAGTCAGTGTTGTCGGCGCCGGAGGTGGGTCAGCTGCAGTACATGTTCGTAGTTGGGAGGCTTTGCAGAATCTGAGCTTCTGCAGAAGCACATCAGAGATGCTTTCGGCCACCGAGTCAATGTCATCATTCCTCAGGGCATGGGTCTGGCTATCCTGCGGGGAGCTGTGCAGTTCGGTCTGGATCCCGGGGTAGTAACGGTCAGACGGTCTCGTCTTACCTACGGCGCCGGGGTGCTCAACCGCTACCAGAAGGGAGTCCACCCGCCGGAGAAGCGGGTGGTAGCGGCTGGAGCGGAGTGGTGCGCCGATGTCCTGGACCGATTCGTGGTTGTGGATGAAAGTGTAGCTGTCAGAGACGTAGTGGTGCGATCCTACACACCAGCCACCCCTGCACAGTCTACAGTGATTTTGCACCTGTATGCCACGATGAGGCACGATGCTAAGTTTGTGACTGAGGACGGAGTGGAGAGAGTAGGGACCTTGCACCTGGACCTGGGCTCTGCCCCGCAGCGTCACCACCACGCTCCTGAAGGAGGAGGAGGAGGAAGAGGCAGGTCCCCGTCGGGAGATCACCGTTAACATGAAGTTCAGAGACACGGAAGTCAAGGCGTCAGCGGTGGACCACCTCACTGGGCAGTGTGTTAAAGCGAATATAGATTTCCTCACTTTATAAGGGCTTCGACTGAGAGTAAACACACGCAGAGATCAAACACACAAAGAGCAATCACCCCCAGAGAGCAGACTCACTATTAGAGAGCAGATTCGCTATTAGAGAGCAGACTCACTGATAAATTAGACACATGTGCAACTCTTGGGTATCTTTATTGAGGAAATGTTTCGCCACACAGTGGCTTCATCAGTCCATACAAAGGAGAATCTTGAAGAATAGGAGGAGAATGAGGTAATCAGTCCCTCAACCTTGAGTCGATGTGGTCAGTCCATCAATCTTGAATAGAATACGGCATACGTGCTGAGAAGGAGCTTATAAACCGTTGGCAGGAGAGGTGAAGCAGTCAGAGGCAGTGTAACACTTATTCAATGTTGAAGTAGGTCATGCCCAAGAATTAGGCAAGCGAAGAATTCCCAAGTATTAAGATCCCAAGAAGATGCAGTGTCTGACAGCTTTGTAGATGAAAGGTTCAGAGAACCGACATGTTGATAAATTAGACACATGTGCAACTCTTGGGTATCTTTATTGAGGAAACGTTTCGCCACACAGTGGCTTCATCAGTCCATACAAAGGAGAATCTATTCTTCAAGATTCTCCTTTGTATGGACTGATGAAGCCACTGTGTGGCGAAACGTTTCCTCAATAAAGATACCCAAGAGTTGCACATGTGTCTAATTTATCAACATGTCGGTTCTCTGAACCATTCATCTACAAAGCAGACTCACTATTAGAGAGCAGACTCACTATTAGAGAGCAGACTCACTATTAGAGAGCAGACTCACTATTAGAGAGCAGACTAACTATTAGAGAGCAGACTAACTATTAGAGAGCAGACTCACTATTAGAGAGCAGACTCACTATTAGAGAGCAGACTCACTATTAGAGAGCAGATTCGCTATTATAGAGCAGAATTGCTATTAGAGAGCAGACTCACTATTAGAGAGCAGACTCACTATTAGAGAGCAGACTCACTATTAGAGAGCAGACTAACTATTAGAGAGCAGACTAACTATTAGAGAGCAGACTCACTATTAGAGAGCAGAGTCACTATTAGAGAGCAGACTCACTATTAGAGAGCAGATTCGCTATTATAGAGCAGACTCGCTATTAGAGAGCAGACTCACTATTAGAGAGCAGACTATTAGAGAGCAAACTCACTATTAGAGAGCAGACTCACTATTAGAGAGCAGACTAACTATTAGAGAGCAGACTCACTATTAGAGAGCAGACTCACTATTAGAGAGCAGACTCACTATTAGAGAGCAGAGTCACTATTAGAGAGCAGACTCTATTAGAGAGCAGACTCACTATTAGAGAGCAGACTCACTATTAGAGAGCAGACTCACTATTAGAGAGCAGACTCACTATTAGAGAGCAGATACATCGAAGGTATATAAAACTATATTTCTGTTTCATCACTATAAGAACAAAAACCGGGTAAAACCTGAAATAAACCAAAACATTGTTTCGGGGTTTACTGTGCACTCTGGCAGGTCCGGGACCAGTGGTGGTCCCGGACCTGCCTGGTGCTCCCTGGTGGTGCTCTCTGCATGCCTTCTCATACATGCACCACAGCCTGACTGATCAGGATCTTAGGGTACAGGGGAAGGAAAACAGATCAGTTTAGACTAGTGATCAGTGTTTTAATCCCTAGACACTGTGTTCCACTGATCGAGCGTCACGTAGACTGGGAAACTCTGAGTCCACATCTTAAAGACAAGAGAGGCATTGTATTTTAAGGTCTGCAGAATTTGGTTAAGCACCTAAAGTCGATTCCTGACCAGCCGAGCTGTGGCTCGTACGTTGGTTTGCGTGCAGCCAGCAGGAACAGCCTGGTTGATCAGGCTCTGATCCACCAGGAGGCCTGGTCACAGACCGGGCCGCGGGGGCGTTGACCCCCGGAACTCATTCCAGGTAAACTACAATATAAAGAATATAAACTATATAAACCTTTCAGATTTATATAGTTAACTTACTATGACTGTGACATATGGCAAAGGTTCACAACCTTCACAGTAGATAATCAGAGGAATGACCTACATCACAATCTCATTAAAGAACTTGAAGTACTGTAATATAGTTAAGGCACTGAAGGAGTGAAATTCTTGAGTGTGTCTAACTGTAACTGTATAGTTTAAGAGACGTACTATAACAGTACTAAATATCTTCAGCTCTTAAAGGGTACGAAATAATGAAGGGAAGTGAAACTACTTCAGTGTGACTTTTATTGTAAAAGAGTATAGTCTGAGGGTTGGTTTGAAGTTTCCTTCAGAGACTTGTTTTACTTATAACGTTACTAAATATCTTTGCTCTTCGAGGGAAAGAACACTCCTTCAGTGTGACTATATTATAAGTGTATTTAGTTTCTTAAGGTTGAAGTAACTCCACAGAACTTTTTTACTTAAACAATTACTAAATATCTTTTCTGCTCTTCGAGGGTTAAGAAACACTCCTTCAGTGTGGACTATATTTATAAGTGTATTAGTATTAAGCGTGATGGAACTCAGGAGAACTTGAACTTATAAACTAGTTTTTTAATATCTTTCTTTTGCTCTTTCAAGGGTTAGAAACACTTCCTTCTTGTGGACTATATTATAAGTGTATATAGTCTAAACTTGAAGTTAACCTCAGTCACTTTCTTTTAACAGTACTTAAATTATCTTTATGCTCTTCGAGGGCTAAGAATTATCTGAAGAAGTGAAATCCTTCAGTGTGACTTATATTATAAAGTGGATAGTCTAAGTTGAGTTTTTTTTCCTTCTGAGGACTTACTTCCAATTCATTATTAAATATTTTCTTGCTCTTCGAGGGTTGAAGGAAACCGTACCTACCCAAAGTGATAAAGCTTTTAGTTGTAGATCTAAGTGAAAGTTAAGAAGAAACATCTTGTGTACACAAGAGTCGCCAGTGGAAGGTCCTCAATATTGAGAAATTAACGAGGAAGAACATTTTTGCTGGTGGTTTCCTTGGATGTGAAAGAAATCGCGAAGTGCTAAGAATGCTTTTTGAAAAGCTTCTGGAAGGAAATATATTCTTAATTTTCCAATAGATCCTGTAGATTTGTTTTCCAGATGGAATTTAATTAAATTATTAACTCAACTGTATGCAAAATCTCTACGCAGTTTTAGAGGCAGGACTACGATTTGCTAATTTCTGTGGGACTTTGTGAAAACACTTAAGCACTTCTGGCATTAGGCATGTTATGAGAATGAGTGCCAGGTATAAACTTGGAGTTCCTATCAAGGAATGAGTTGGATTGGCATACTTTTGGGTTAAAACTGTTTTTATTGAACGTAGTTTGTGTTTGGTTAAGAGAAATAAGCATTATATGGATTGAAATTTTCACGAAAAAAAACAAAAAAACTAGAAGACAGCAAAAAGAAGTGGGAACAGGCAAAAAACAAAAAAAACTAAAAGAGAAGAAAAAAGAATGGAGAAGGAAGTGGGGGAAGATTCAAGCATGACAAGGAACTGCCACCTCCCACAATGATCCAGAGTACAGAATGATGGGGAATCTAAAAAGGTCAAAGTCAGGAAACCATACTGCCAATGATTCCCTTAAAAAGTAATTCATAACAATTTTATAGTTTCTATGGAGCAGCAGTTTTGAGTCAAAAGAACAGAAAGAACAGGAGACCTTATTCAGGGCTTCTCTTCCCTGCCCAAACCACCAAAAAAGCAAGAACAGAACCTTCATTGAGGAGTCCTCTTCCTGACAAACCACCAAAAAGAACAGCAAGAACTGGAGACCTTCATTGAGGAGCTTCTCTTCCCTGACAAACCCCCAAATCCTGTAGAAGAAACAAGTCCCCCTGTAACTTTGACACAAACCCAGAATTTTTTACAGGAAACCCAAGATTATGATTTCGACCTGGATGCTCTCTTTCATGAATCATCCTTCTGGGCCGCTATCACTTGTAGTAACCAAAGCAAGAACCATCCAGAAGAAGACACAAAAATATATGAGGATATTTTCGATATATTATTTTTTAATATGAAAGACTGATTTATAGTTGAGGTGATAGTATATTAATTATATAATGGAGACTGTCTGTGTGAAAAGCCAGTTAAGTACAGTAATATACTGTCTTAAGCCCTTGAAGTAATATAATATATTTAAACCTTGAAGTATAAAATATATTAAAGAACTTAAAAGTTTTGAAATATAGTTAAGGCACGGGAAGGAGTGAAATTCTTGAGTGTGTCTAACTGTAATGTAGATTTAAAGTGTAGTACCTCAGAGACTTACTATAACGTACTAAATATCTTAGCTCTTCAAGGGTAAGAAGAAATACTGAAGGAGTGAAACTACTTCTGTGTGACATATAATAAGTGTATATCTGAGGTGAATACTCAGAGACTTTTTATAACGTACTAAATAACTTCTGCCTTGGGGGAAAGAAACACTCCTTCAGTGTGACTATTTTATAAATGTATAGTCTACGGTGAAGTACCTCAGGGGACTTACTATAACAGTACTGAAAACACTCCTTCAGAGTGACTATATTATAAGTGTATAGTCTAAGGTGAAGTACCTCAGAGACTTACTATAACAGTACTAAATATCTTCTGCTCTTCGAGGGTAAGAAAACTCCTTCAGATGTGACTATATTATAAGTGTATAGTCTAAGGTGAAGTACCTCAGAGACTTACTATAACAGTACTAAATATCTTCTGCTCTTCAAGGGTAAGAAACACTCCTTCAGTGTGACTATATTATATAGTGTATAGTCTAAACTGAAGTACCTCAGAGACTTACTATAACAGTACTAAATATCTTCTTGCTCTTCGAGGGTAAGAAATACTGAAGAAGTTAAACTCCTTCAGTGTGACTATATTATAAGTGTATAGTCTAAGTTGAAGTTCCTCTGAGACTTACTCAAACATTACTAAATATCTTCTGCTCTTCGAGGAAAGAAACCGTCCTCCAAAGATATAAGCTTTAGTTGAAGACAAAGTGAAAGTTCAGAGAACATCTTGAAACACAAGAGTCGCCAGCTGGAAGACCTCAATATGAAGAAATACGAGGAGAACATGCTGGTGGTCCTTGGATATGAAAGAAAATACTCAGGCAAGAATGCTTTGAAAGCTTCTTGAAGGAAAATATTCT